TGTGGTGCCACCCTGCTCCCACACATCCCAGCTCAGGCTCGTGATCCCAGCTCGATCCTGGGGAAAGCAAACCCCTCCGTGCCCTCGTGCAGCGTTCTCCCCCCCAGCTCCACCAGCCAGGAACGCTGAACTCCAGCAAAGCCTCCGTGCAGGAGGGAATTCCACCAGCCCAGCCCCTGGAAGAGCCGGGAGATGCCCAGCTGGGAAGAAAAGGAGGAAAGGCCAGAGGTGGCTGGGGCCGCAAAGGTGGAAGGAACGAGAGGCCCAGGATGCTCTGAGCGTGATCTGGAGGGATATTCCAGGAGTCTGTCCCATCCAGGGGGTTCAGCCCCCTCCCCTCTCCCCCCGCCCGTGTCTCGCCGCCAAATTAAAAGCGTTGCCGCTCACGGCAGCAATAATTCACCCCCCGTCTAATGCCCAACATTTTGTCAGGATTATCCCGATTAACCCAGAATTAATCCTGATCTCAATGTTAACAGGATTAGCGTTAAAATCGGATTAGTTCTTTAAACCGGACCCCTTGACTAAAGCACGGGGCCTCCCTCCCCCTCCAGATGTGCCCGGCCCGCCCCCCGGCAGCCAGATGTGAGCGGGAGCCCAGGCAGGAGCCCGCAGCCCAGCGGGGTGTCCCTACAGCCAGAACCTCCGTGATCCCGACATCCAGCCCCTGCCCACCCCTCCTGGGGGTGATGGCACTCGGATGTCGTGTTTCCAAGCTGAAACCCCCCCACCTCTGCCCCTGGACACAGCCCCGCAGGGACACGGGTGGCTGCTCGCCCCCTCTCTCTCTCTGCATTTTCTCCCCTTCCCGCTGGCACCGACAGCTTTCGCCTGCCTGATGAATATTTAAAGGCCTGGATCCTCTGCAGCCTCATGAATATTGACGCTGCTGGTTGCCCAACGTGATCCTTCACCCGGCAGCACCTGCCTGGCAGAGGGGTCCAAGGGTGGCACCAGGATACCTGCACGGGAGAAGGAAGATCCAAGGGCTGTCCCCACGGGTCCAGCCACGAGGAGGACTCTGCGTTCAGTCCACAGAACGCTCATTTTCTCCCCAGAAACCACAGGGGTGGAGCAGCCTCACTGCTGGCAGTGGGGCAGCACAAGGTCCCGGGGCAGGGAACCACGGGAGCAGCTGCTCCATTCCTGGCAGGAGGTTGGGACTGGGAACAGCCCCAGAGAGGGGACACTGTGCCCACTCATCCTCATCCCACTCATCTCCCAGCACTGGGTGCCACCTTGACTCCCACGGGGAGGACAAGCATTAATCATTAACCTCCCAGCAGAGGCAGCCGGGTTTGAATTCCTGGAGTTGTTTTCCCTGAGTGTCTCAAACAGGAATGTCCAGCCTGGAATCCGGGGGGAGAGGAGCATCCTGCCATGAGACCCTGGGCAAGTGGGGGTCCTGATCCAGCAGCTCCCCTGAGGCTGAGGCGGTCCCAGGGCACGGGTCAGGGAGGGGAAGGTGGCAGGAGATACTTTCTGGGGTGAGGGGGCCAGTCCTGCCTCCATCCCTGGCACTTGGACCTCCACCCACCCCTTCCCAGCCGTGCTCAGTCCCTGCTCTGGCGCCGCTGCCTCGTGTGACAGCAGCTTCCAAAAATAAGCAAATTACCGCATCCTTCAGGGACACTGGCGGATGGGAAGCAAAGCCAAGTGTGAGGAAGCAGCAGAGAGGGGATGGGGGGACAAGGGACAAGCCCTTGCAGGGGATCCAGGGCTGCAGCACCACGGAGGGGACCCTGTACAGGCTGGAAACCAGCAGGGACACGGGGCAGCAGCGTCAGGGATGGGGACTTCACGGTGGCAGGTGACAAGGCTCAGCTCTGTGGAATCTGAGGCAGGATATGCTGGAGCAGCTGTGGACAGGGAGGGCGGGCACTGGGAAACAAGTGCGAGAGCCTCTTGGGAAACTGGCTCGGAGGGGCCGGTTTGAAGTGCAAAAAAACCCCAAAGCCGACTTCAACGGGATCATCTGTAGGGAAACAGCCCCAAATCCGGGACTCCAGCCCAGCCACTGCTGCAGGCTGAGCTGCTGCATCTCCCCTGGGTGACCCAGCAAGTCCCACCGTGCCTCAGTCTCCCCATTCCTACATTAAGGATGCTGCTGTCATTCCCAACAACCTGATCTGGTGGGTGCCATCCCCACCCACGGCACAGGGTGGGGGGTAGGAACGAGATGGTGTTTAAGCTCCCTTCCAAACCAAACCGCCCCGCGATTCCACGACAATAAATATCCACAACACCCGGGATCGGCGGAAAACCGAGCCCTGGGGAGCAGCTCCCACGGCAGAAAACCAGCAAGAGCCCCAAAAGCAGAGAGAGGAGGGGGAGCAGGAGCCCAGCAGCCGTTCCCCCTCCTCCTGGCCCAGCCCAAACCAGCAGCAGCCCATGGGCAGCGGAGCAGGTCCCCGAGGCCGGCGGGAGGGCGTGGGGAGGAGGCTGCTGTGGCAGCAGCAGGATTACAGGAGCTAAGCCTGCCTGCTATTTGCTCATCTCCTGCAAGTAAATACCGCTGTCTGCCTGTAATTCCGGCTGGGAGAACGCCGGTGAGGCGGAAATGGTTTCCCAGGAGCAGACACGGGAGGGGGACGTGGGTAACCAGCCCCCTGGTGCCACTGGAGCAGGAGCCAGGCACGAGCTCACCGTAGCTGACACAGCCCCAGACACTTGTTTTAAAGACAGATGTGTCCTGTGTGTCCCCCTCTGCCCGCTCTCCCTCCCACATCCCAGTCATTTTTCCCTCGCTGGCTTTCGCTGGTGCCGCCTTTGATGTTCCTTTAAAGTCCTGGCACCAAAGGAGCTCTGCCTTTGGATCTTCCCATTCCTCCTCCATCCCACCAGGAGCCAGCCCACCCCCTGCATTAGCACAGCGGGAGCCCCCAGCTCTCGGGGCTGCCTCAGCTCTTTCCACAGTGATTCCCCGCAGGATTTTTCCCCTTGGATGTGCCCCTGGACCTCCCAAGCCCTCTGACACCCAGAACACGGCAGGGATGGGAGCTGGGATGGGATTCAGAGGATGGAAATGCAGGGGAGGAGGACCAGGTCTGTCCCAGCCAGGGGATTTGGGAGTGTGCCTGGGCACTGGGGCTGGCGGGAGCGTGACACCGGCCACGGAGCAGCCGGATCGATGGCTCCATGTGAGCACAGCCCCAAGGGAAGGGACAGCCGGGAGCTGAGCGGGGCTGGCTCAGGCTGGAAGCCAGGGCAGAAATGGCAGGGATGTGCTGGGGCAGGAGGATGGAGCGTGGCAGAGGCTGGGGAAGGATCCACGGACACGAGGTGGGAGCGTGGGGTGGAATGTCTGGGCACAGTGGGGTGTCCTGGACCCTTCTCTGCAACGACAGCACTGCCCCCAACGCACAGGAGGATCTGTGACTGACAAACACAGCAGTGCATGGACCCCCCTCCCCAAATCCCAGGCCTGGAGACCCCCAAAGCTCAGCCAGCACCTGCCACCACCTGTCCCCAGGCAGGTGGGCATGCCAGGGAGGGGGCACAGCAGGTCCTGCCCCCAGGCCCACCAGCAGCAGCAACATGCCACGACCCTGGGTGTCTCTGAGAATCCAGCACAGCCCTTCCCACCATCCAATCCCCCCTGTCCCCTGCCAGCTGGAGCTCTGGCTCCAGCCCCCCATCTCGGGCCAAGGGATGGGGAAGGGCTGGCTCTGCACCCCCAGCAGCAGAGAGTGGCAGCTGGACACAGCCAGGGACCCTAAAGGGCCATGAAAGTTTTATTTTGAGGGGTGGGAGGCAGCTTTCCCAGCTGAAGGCCAAGCCTGCAGCTCCAGAAGGCCCCTAGGGGACACAGGTGGCTGCGGTGGCCTCAAGGAAGCCCCCCAGCACCTGCTTGCTGGGATCAGCCTCCCCGCAGGGCTCTGCCCGTGACAAGCCATCCCCAGCTGCCTCTGCCTCATGCCCCACTTGGTAGCGGGGTCAGGCAGCTGGGGCTGGGAAGAGGAGGGTGATTTAACCCATAACACATTCCCACAGCACAGAGAGCCGGGAAGATGCTCCCATTGCAACCAAAGTACTGCCAGGACCAGGTGGGAAAATGTGTGATGGGAGAAAACGCATCCCTATGGCTGCAACCCCCCGGCTGCTGCTGAGGAGGGACCTCGTGGGGTGAGGGGACCCCTAAACCTCATCCCCATTTCATTTCTTAGTTACAATAAAAGCGGGAAAAACTCACAAAACCTGAGGCTTTTGCGCCTTCCCCCCCCTTCCCAAACCCCCAGGAATGCCCCCGAGAGCACGTGGCTGTGAGAACCCAGACAGCTGAACATTCAAGGGAGCTGCTGCTCACACAACACACACACACCCCGTTTTTGCACTGCAAACGCTCCGGGAACGAAAACTCAGGAGAAAAAAGTGCCCACATTCCGCGTGTCCCGCCTTCCCCACGCGCTTCCCAACCGCGGGCAGCCCCTGGAGAGCAAAACCCCGCGGGGACAACACGCCAAGGTCATCCCGCAACACGGCCGACCTTGAAGCGTTGCCACAGCATCCCTGGGCAAGGAGGAGGAGGAGGAGGAGGAGGAGGGAGAGGAGGAGGAGGAGGAGGCTGGAAACCAGAGCAACCCTTGTATCTCTGCCTGGGAGCAGCCACCAGGATGGTGGACTTCCAGCAGGTGGACTTCCGACCCCATCCAAAACAGGCCTTTTCCCATCCTTTTCCCAGAATTCAGGTCTCTGCTGCAATGGAGCAACTCCAAAGCAGCAGGACTGGACTGTGGGGTGAGTGGTCAGGACGAGGGCAAGCCACAGACTCGTCCTGCTCAGACACCAGGTTTGTGTCTGCACAACGTGGCCCAAAACTAGAAATCCTTCTCACGAGCTTAAACCACTGCTGAGCTGGGAACAAACTCCTTTGGCACAGGAACCCTCAGCAAAAAAAACCCACTCCCAGCTCCCACCTCCCTCCACGGACACAGCGATGAGACGAGGGTGGCCAAGCACATGCATTTCAAACAGAAGCAGGAAAAATCCGAAATACTGACCTTAAAGCTCCAGTAGTTGGGTTGCTAACAAAAAGAAAAAAAAATCAAAAACAAAAAACAAAAACGAAAATAAAAACAACAAAACAAAAGAAAACACACACACATACACACACACAAAAAAAATACCATTAAGATTCTGCTTTGACTTTTGTTTTTCCCTTTGAGAACTGCTGACTTTAAACTGCGATGTCAAAACCTGCTCTGGTTTCTGTCCCTCCCGAGGGGTCGGTGGAGGTTCATGCTGGGGAGGGGGGGAGCAGGATCATGCAGGGGCAGGGAGGGGTGGTGGATTGGTGGGGATTAATGCAAGCTGGGGTGCAGAGCAACCCCAGCAGAGCCAAGCGGGGAGCGGGACGGCAGCCCAGCCTCGCTGCCGGAGTCACCGGCGTGCCCACACCATCCTGGCACGTGCTGGCCAGGCTGCTGCGGTGCTGGAAGTCAGGATAATGTTCATCTTTAAAGGGATCTTCCAATCCCTCCACCACCACCCCCCTCTTTGCCCCCGCTCCCTCCCTCTGTTGTGTTTTCACCGGTGTCAAACCGATGTGCCACCGCCGGTGACAGGAGCTGGCACCGCTCACGGCCCAGCGAGCCGGAGAGCTGGCACTTCCCTCTCCACAGCCCCCCACTGGGGATGCTCAGCTCCCTGTGGCACCCACCCTCGTGGGTCAGAGACTCGGGGACCCCCTCCCAGGGCAGCCCCACAGCCAGAGAGTCACGGAATCCTGGAATGGTTTGGGTTGGGGGGATCTTTAAAGCTCACCCAGCCCCACCCCCCTGCCATGGGCAGGGACACCTTCCTCTGGCCCAGGTTGCTCCAAGCCCTGTCCCATCTGCAGCAGGAGGGAAGGTGGATCCAGTAACCAGAAGTGGGATTCAGCTCACTGGGAAGGGGATGTGCAGGTGATGGGTGGGGTGGGAGAAATGGGTACAGAGCAGCTTTTGTTCCAGCAGCCTTTCATTGGGATCCAAGTTCTTGCCTGCTCTGTCCTCCCCTCTCACCTCCACCCACCCCCTTGTTTCTATCCAGCATTTATTTCTCCATCACAATCACTGTGCCTGCCAACTTGCTCCTTAGAGGGTGATTTCTTTAATTATTGCTTTAAATCTAAACCAGGCTCCTGCACCAAGCTCCCAATCCTCACCAGTCCCCACCAGTCCCTGCAATGTGCTGCCCAGGATTCTCCCACCACAGCACTCTGGGAGCAGAGAGAGAAACTGCAATAACATCAGACCATCACAGAGTATTTATCCAAGGGCTTTCCCAATCCACTGGCAGATTTGCTGCTTCCTTCCCCCTTCTGCTGACAAGGTAACCAGAGGTCCAGTCGATGTGTATAAACACAGATTCACTTGTTAGACTCATCCCAAGCCTCAGCAGGACACTCTTATTCCAATTCAAGGCGCTGCTCACATTAATATTCCATCCAACACCAGCAGTCCCAACCCAAGTTCAGCCTCCACCAAACCAAAACTGTTTTAAAAGTGATCTGAGCCCAACGAGTGCAGCCTTCTCATGCAGACAAGCCTCGAGGCACAAAGGTCTTTTCCAAGGGCACACCGTGACTCAGAGGCAGGACCAGGAATAGAAGTTCCGAGCCCTGATTACCAGGCACTATTAGATAACAACCAGCAGGATCCCAGCCTATCCTGGGCACGCCAAGCTTTTCCAAAACTGCTCCCTGGAAAGCGAGAAACCCCCTCAGAGTGGCTTTTGGGACTAACAAAGCCACCCACAGCACGGAGCCACCAACACCAGCAGCTCCACTGCCTCAGCTCCAGGGGCTGGGTGCTGGGTGCAGGGAAAGGGGTGCTGGGTGCAGGGAAAGGGGTGCTGGGTGCAGGGAAAGGGGTGCTGAGCACCAGATCAGCAACACTGGGCACAGGTAAGGGACACTGAGTGCATGACAAGTGATCCTGGGTGCATGGCAAGCGACTCTGGGCACAAGCCAAGCTGGTAGCACCAGTGCCCACCCAGCCCAAAATTCAGCCCTGCCACGTGTTAATCCAAAGCACAGACCCCAGGGCAGAGGCTCCAGCAGCATCTCCTGCTCAGCTGGAGCTGCCTGGGTGCTGGGCAGGATTGCATCAGCCCCTGGAGGCTCTGACAGGCTGTGCCTGGAGTCGGGAATGTCTCCAGTGAAGCTGCTCAGGGCAGCAGTTTTTGTAACTCTGCTCCTGCTCATCAGCCTCACCCCAACTCCCCACAGCAGGCTCGGGTGCCGCCTCCCAGGAAAGTCTGCATGAGGGAGATGTAATAAATCACACCTGATTTCAAATGGAGGAAGAAATACTCCATCCCCTGCCCTTGGTAGACTCCAGCAGCTGGCTCTGCCCACCTCCCTGCACCAGTACACCCAGTGCCTGGTCCCCAGGTTCTGCCTTCACACCTGGGGGGTGCTCAGGTGCCCACCCACCTCTTAACTCCTTCGTGCTCTGAGTGGCTGCAATGGGCCCTTCCCATGAGATCAGACGTTTCAGCATCTCTGGGAAGAGCTGTGGTCAAACCAGCCTGGCCCAGTCCCCCAAGGACCCCGACCCAGTCTGTGGCAGGAGATGATGCCCCTGATCTTTCCCTCTCTGCAACTTTTCTTTCTCCTCTCCCTGATCTTCATTTTGCTCTTGAAGAGTCTCAGTAATTTTCCTCAGCCCTGATATTACTGATCCTATCTCATGCCAGCCCCGGGTGTGTATTTTATTTATTATTTTAGGATGACTGGACAAGCTTATCACAAAGCCCATAAATTACATCCCCACCACACACAGTCAACCATCACACCGGTGACGAGCTTGCCCGAACCCCAGGGGATCCAGAACCTTCTGGAAGCGACTCGGGCTGGACAGCACAGCACAGCACCCACCCTGTCCCAGCTCCCTGGATGCAGCCCTGGAAAAGCCCTTTCCTCTTGGGAGCCCTGAGCAGAGCCCTGCCTGCAGCAGGGAGGGGGGACAGGGCCACGCTGGGAGGCAGGGCCGTGCAGGGCTGACAATCTGCCGCTGTCTGCCAGCGCCAAGCGGGCCATGGACACCACCACGCAGACCTCTGTGGGCTCCATCTGTCGCCCAGCTCAGCCTCCACCCATCCCAAACCTCCCAGGGCCAAGAGCTTGTACCCCCCCAGCACGGGGGTCCCGCTCCGGGCACAGCGACAGCACAGACACGGCCCTAAATGAAGCCACATCCCCCCAAAATCCAGGGGCAGAGCAGGGACAGCCCCAGAGCGGTGCCCAGCTCCCTGCCAGCCCCCTGGTAGCCAGCCAGGCTGGCAAGGGTGCATTTGTACAAAGAGAAAGGGAAAGAGGAGAGGGCCAAGGTAGAATTAACATATCGCTGGCTCTTCAAAAGCATCAAAGGGAGATAATGGTCCGAGGGAGGATTTGAAGCGACAGCCTTGTTACAACCAATAAAGCAGGAGGCTCCTTGCAGCAGGGCTCTGCAGAAGGTAGGGAGAATTACAAAGGCTGAGATTATAATTACAATGAAAGTCATGTCCGTGATGCTGCAAAAAAACGACGGACCAAACAGGACCAGGCCCCCTCCAGAGCACAGACATGCGTGCACGTGTGTGCACAGGAGCTGGGACACGCGTGGGAGAGCGAGGAGGGCGTGGAGATGCTGCTGAGAGCCCACGGCCCTGAGGGAGCCATGCACACAGGGGTGCTTGGAAGGGTTCACACACACACACACACAGAGCCTGCAGAGAGGAAAAGCAGGGCTGGGGGGATGCAACCCAGAACACACTGGAGTTAAGTTTAAAATAAACTAGTCTTTGTGGTTGTCCCAGGAGAAGACAGCAGGTAAATGAAATCCAAGCCAGTCACTGCCTTGACCAAGGTGGACTTCCCTTGGTTAGCAAATATAACTCAAATCTGTTAGTGATTAACAAGGCAGGACCAAGTGTCCCTCTAAAATGGGCAGCAGCAGCAGCCCCATCATGCTGCACCGAAGGGAGGACAGAGGCAGCTTCATCGGCTTTTTAATTAACTCGTTTCCAAGAGTTCCAGTTCCTGATCGAGTCCCCCCTCAGGCACGACAATCTTGACAAACAAAAATCTCCTTGAAAAATAACTGCAAAGTGAGTTTAATCTGCTTCTCCTTATTAAAGTTTTTTAATGCTTTTCAGCACAGGAGAAACTGAATTAAAGTGGAAATGGCAAAATGACAAGACAGAGGGAGTCGAATGCAAACAGTGACCAGACAGAGCGGGGAGCGGCGCCGACACCGAGTGCTCCAGATATTGTCACCCGAGGTCTCACAGTTATTGCAGGGATCTCTCAAACCTGAGCAGCAGAGAGGCCAGTGGAGACAGGACGGGATGCAGGAGGGCTGGGGCTCGTTCCCATCACACCTGGGCTCCTAAGGAGCTTTGGTGGGACACCCAAACCAGACCCCACCATGAGGAGGGCGCTCGTTTTGCTGCTCCCCTTTCAGGCACTGGCATCTCTAGGCAGAGCCTCGGGGTTTGCTACCCCTGTCCCCAGCCCCCAGAGGCTCTGATGGCCATCACAGTGTCACCAGAGATGCCACAGCCAGCTGTCACAGTGACTCAATGGGACCAGCTGCACAGCTCAAACTTTCCCTCCAGGATCCTCCACCTGCCCACACGCCCTCCTCCTCCTCCAACAGCATCAGCTCTTCGGCATTAATTACAGCCTTGACCTACAGCGTGGTGTCTCTGGGGCAGCCCAGGTGATACCAGAGCCCAAACACCTCTGGCCATCAGCGGATTTGCATCCTCAATTCTCCCTCAAGCCCCCTCCTTTCCTGGTAAGCAAATCTGCAATGTGTGCTTGGAGCAATGCATCAGGACACGCTCTGCTGAGGAGCAGCCATGCCACTGCCTGCCTGGGCTTTAGAATCTCCCTTCTGCAGCCTCCACGTCCAAGGTCAGGGAGCTCTCCTGTGCTGCAGGTGCCCCAGGGACCAGGTTTGGTGCTCAGCAGACCCCCAGCCTGCTGGGGAGGGGAAGGGTGTGTGTGTGGGGTCTCTGTTCCATCTCTACCCATCCCCTGCACCAACAGGAG